TCTCGCAACAGCTGAGTTTTGGGACTAGCAACAGAAAGTGAAGTATGTTGGTCTCAGTAGACATTGCAGACAGCTTTGCTCACCTTGAGTCTCCAAGCACAATTTATCAACTGTTTTGTGAATCAAGGCTAGGGCCCGGTTCACCACAGAAGTAATGACATCAGACTGGATAAGCTATTACTTAAAAATTCTAGGTTACGTTGGGCATAAGGTGTTGGTGAGACAAACTCTTTAATAAAAATATCTGACAGGCTCTTCCATTAGAATAACTGCTTAAGGCTATCCACATCTAACACTGGCTGTAGAGAACATTAAGATAACTTTCACCAATTTTAGAGGGATGGGCTACAAGAGAAGATAGATTACTTCAGATTCCTTAAAATAAAACGTCTTCTCACTTATATAGAAACAAATGGCAGTCATAAAAAATACCAAGCCATATATAAATCTACTAATACTGAATAGGTTCGATCACATAATAAAAAAGGATATTTATAAAATAAAGAATTAATTTGAAGAAACAATAAATATCTTTTTTATATATTAGAGCTTTGAAACCTTTATCTTTCGTAAATATCTTAATATTGTTAATATATGTAGATTTAGGATATTAATATCTTTTAACATGTTTGAAAGGATACACTAATTTTTCTTTATATAAAAACATTTTTAAATTTTTAAATTTTTCATGGAAAAGAAATTCACCTTAGTATATGTGTATATATACTATGCATATAATATGTACATATATTATTCCAATGTTCTAAAATACTAGCAAAGTAATGAAGATTTAATTTCTCCAAAGTTTAATTTCTTCCTAAGACTATATAATCATAACCTCAATAACCACTAATGAGGAATATCCTTCTAGTCTGATCACAGTAGCATAATTGACAGATATTTTCTTTTTCTAATTGTTACTTGCAAAGATAGAGATAATTTTAAAGTTGGCAAACCACTGACAGCAGGGCTTGCCAAGTGCATGCATTCCTCCTCTAGGACTTGAGGTCCCAGCGCTCTGCAGGCTGTAACCGTGACCTCCACACGGACCACGGCCAAGACCTGCCCTTGGGGACTTCTGCTTTATCAGGTTCCCCGAATCTTAGGCGAAACAAACTTGAAGCACCAGTTATTAAGGTCAATTTGGTATTGTTTTTAAGAAACAATCAACCACCACAAAACAAAAACCAAAAAGCTATCATGAAAGAAAAGTAGGAAGGTTGGAAAGTTCCCTTTTGTACTCTGTCTAAGATGCCCAGGGCTCTTTGAGAATGGCCCTGCTTATTCAGAGTAAATGTATTTCTTTTTTATTTGCAGGGGTGAACACTCTGTTCCCTGAGCAACTGCCTTGGAATGCTCATTTATAAAGTAAGGCTGACTGGAAAATGCTGGGCATGCGGTATAAATAGTTACTTATTTCTTAAATGTCCTGGCACTGACAATGATGGGTACCCTTTCTGATTCATCATCAAGAGAAGCCGGCATTTTTTTAGCGTGTATCTAGTGGATTGGTAACAATAATATGATATGATACCACTACAAGACAAACCTCTTGGAGGTATTAATTACATCCCTATTGCTACCTCACCACAATCTGAATCCATTTCTTTTTTCACTTAGAAAAGTTACTACTCTCTAGAATACGTCCCCTTTCTTGCTCTAAAGCAATACCCTGGTTGGGAACAGACTGAACAATTCACATTAGGAGCCTGCCAACCTGTAAAGAACACAGACTGTGAAATTTGATTCTAAAAATAAATATCAATATGGTCTAAAGACATGTTACCTAATGACAAGGATCTTTGCTTCAATTCAGAAGAGTGACAATTTTCTCATAAAGAATATGGAGATAGTAAAACACCAGGGCATTCAGTCAAAGCACACAGAATTATTTGATTTCCAACCACTGATTTTTGTTACTAGAATCCTTTCGTACTCACCTTCATCCATGCCAAAACTATCTACTGAATATCTTGAATATAAAGAAAATGTCAATGTTTTCCTCCAAAATTATTCTTCTGAAAAGAGGGTTTTGCCTTATATTGTGGTCTTTAGAAAGACTCCCCTTTTGCAGGATATGCACAACATAAAAAACTACATAATAAAAAAATAAACAACTACAGAAAGAATTTTCGAAAACACCACTCAAAGGCATATATGGGTTCTTGGAGCTTGAGACAACTTTTCCTGAGACATCAGCAATCATATATCAAAAAGAGCTTATCTAAACACT